CCCTCAGGACCCTCACACTAAGAACAAAATACAGCCTTAAAGACCTTTACTGAGATAAATGGAACAGTAATCAAATGGAAAATAATCAATCAGAATTACAGAGGCAATACTATTGTTCTAGAGGTTCATGTGGTATTATGTACTATAAAGCTTTCTAGATTAACATACTCACACTCTTCCTTGATAACCTGGCGGTGAGAGACAGAGTACCAGCCTTACCTCTGGCATGCCAAGAGAGTCCAATGGTCCAGGTTCCTCAATTCTTGAGTGGGAGGTGAAGAGCTCAGGAGAGGTTAGAAAACTAAGAGCGATAGAAAGACGACAGATGCTAACTTAAGAGTTTGATTCAACTAACTAACTTAAGAACTAAGAATTAAGAAACTACGAACGACAAAACTACGAACTAACTTATAGAGCCAAGTATCAGAGGGGTAGCCGTGTTAGTCTGGATCTGTAAAAAGCAACAGAGAGTCCTGTGGCACCTTTAAGACTTACAGATGTATTGGAGCATAAGCTTTTGTGGGTGAATACCCACTTCGTCAGACGCATGTAATGGAAATTTCCAGGGGCAGGTATAAATATGCAGGCAAGAATCAGTCTGGAGATAACGAGGTTAGTTCAATCAGGAAGGGTGCACTATGTGCCCTCCTTCCATGGCCAAAGTTAATTTCCTCACTCACAAAATATCAGGGCACTCTTATGTCTACACTTACCGTGAGGGGTAACGCGAGAGAGCTGATGGTGGAGATCAGCTTCCCCAGGTGGGAAGCAGGGGAAGGGCGAGATGGAAGTGAGAACCATCCGCATGTCCAGGTCCTCCAAAGGGTGTAGAGGCTGCCCACCGACAAACCCTTCTCCACCGCCTCTTGGGAGGCAGCCTCCGATGCCAGGAAGAAGACGACCTTCCTGTACATCTTGGAGGCCGGTACAATGGCTGGGTCCCCACCACCCTCACCAATGCCCGCAGGTCTCTATGAGGAAGAGGCAGACTCTAGGAGGCAATGGAAACCATGTTTCCTGGTCAGGGTGGAGAAGGGCCCTCGGCCTCCGGGGATGGTGGTAAAGGAGGCCGTGGAGGCACTTGGGGAGGTGGGTGGAGGGGCAGCATCCGCCGGGGTGTACGCTCTGGGGCTGGTGAGGAGGGGATGACAGGGAGAGGGGGGGCTGTGGCTGGTGGCAGGGCCACAGCAGCAGGAGCAGCCATGACAGTGGGAGGTTGCGTCTTCCGAGGGGCTTTTGCCGTTTTCCCCTCCCCTGGCCCTTCCTGCCGGCCGAGGGGCTCCCTCGAGGGTGCTGTGGCAGCCTGGGCCCACTGCTGCTGGTGCCCTGATGGTTACCATGGTAGCTGTGGAGGCGGATGGGGGAGAAAGCCAAGGCAAGGTGACTACGGTGGCTAGGGGTCCCCCTCCCTCAGTCTCTCCCTCTTCCCCCCTCACCAGCGAAGTCCCGGGAGTGGAAGCGTCGTGCATGGCCGAGTCGGGGTCCACCACTGGGGACAAGTGGTGGGAACAGCCACCGGAAGGGAAGGTAGGAACAAGGCAAAAGGAAGTGAACCCACTCCTCCCCACGAGGCTGGGGGGTGGCAGGGGAGGGCACAATCAGACCTAGGGGGGTTGCCAAGAGAGGCAAGGAGGGTGAGGGGCACAACTAGTGTTACCACCTTTGAAATGCAAAAATACCAGCTCCACCCCTAGCCCCTTCCTGCAGTTGCTTCGTCCTTCCCACTTGGTTGGGGCTTGGGCGGGCCGACGGGACTCGGGGTGGTTGGCGCTGGGGCCGGGGCTGTGCCACCGCCCATGGGGGCCTGCCCAGAGCTCCGGGGCTGGGGGTGCTCGGGGCTGGGGGGTACCACAGAAGGGGGGTGCTCTGGGGCTGGGCTCATGGGGGAGCAGAGGGGAAGGGCGAGGGGTGGGACCTCAGGCAGAAGGGGAAGGGCCGTGGGGGGGCTAGCCTCCCTCCCCCAGAAGGCCGGTTCACTGGCCACCCATGGTGGGCAGCTCCCTGTGTTTCCAACTGTTTTGATCTGTCCCTTAAACTGTGGGAAACATGACACAAACTTTGACCTTTCTCTCCCCCTGCCCGGCTCACCGTGGGAATAACGCAGACCTTTAGACCCAGGTAAAAAATAGGGTGACCAGATGTCCTGATTTTATAGGGACAGTCCCAATATTTGGGGCTGTGTCTTATATAGGTGCCTATTACCTCCCCCCTACTACCTCTCCCAGTTTTTCACACTTCGGGTCTGGTCACCCTTGTAAAAAAGAACCTGGCCGATGACATGATTTTACTGCCAACTGGCAAATCCATAGAAAAACCGACCCGGCCGCACACAACGGGGTGTCCCGGGGCTCCTACCAAGGCCTGGCCCTGCCCCGGCGGGTTCCTCGTCTGTGTGTGTGGTTGGGGGGGGGGGGTTGGGACACGCGGGGGGACTCGGGCACCCCAGCTGGATCGCTCCCCCAAGCAGGATCGGGCCCTGCCCGTGGGAACAGGCCCAGCTGCTGCCCGGGTCAGTCCCGTGCAGGGCGGCGGGACTCGCGGACCCCCGGGGAGCCGGGGTGGGGTCGGGCCGGCCGGGGCCAGCCCCTGCCCAGTGAGGGCTGCGTGGGGGTGGAGGACACACAGGCCGGGCTGGGGCTGGGCAGGGGGGCGGGCTGCAGGGAGAACAAAGGGGCCAGGCGCCGTGTGAACACAAAGGGGCTGGGATCTGCCCGGGAGCCGGAGCAGCTGCTGCTCCCCCCATGGGGTCTGTGCTGGGGGGGAGACCTTCATTAACCCCTCCCCCCTGGGCCGGAGACTGCAGGTGAGTCCGAAGGACCCCGGGGGAGAAATGCTGGGGGAGGGGCAGGAAAGTGACTCTCTGCACCGGGGGGCTCAGATCTGCAGCTTCCCCCGCTCCCGGGGGAACCTGCTCCGGGTTGTTACAAGCGAGATCGGAGCTAGTTAATGGCACTGGAGCCGCTGCTCCAAGCCCCTGTCGGGGTCTGCTCCGGGGGTGTCGTGGGGGGAGATCGAGAGCGGGCCCCAGTGGGGCGTCCCCGGGGTGGCGGGGTCAGGAAGGGAGGGAGGGAAAATGAGCTAGAAATGGAGGGAGGTGAAGACAGCCCAGACCTCCCCACCACACACACACACACACACTATCTGTGCAGGCAGGAGATTCCAGGAGGGTGATGAAATCGTCCCTGATTTGCCGCTTCCCTGTCAAATCCTGATCAAATTCTCCTCAGTTCTTCCCCTTATGGCATAACTCTCACATCGGGATGTAAAATCCCCCCTTTCTCTCAAGTGACTGGCCCTTTTCCCCATTCGCCTCCTCACAAATTACCCCATTTCCCCCTCGGATTCTCAATTAAAAATCTCCTCCGCTTTGGGATATTTTCCCACTCACTTTATCTGTGGGGAAATTGTCTTTTTTTTAGGTGGGAAATTGGTATCCTGAGCCCGCCCCTAACTGGGCAGGAGGTTAGTGGGTGCAGCTTGGGGGAGCCCTGAGACACTGGGAGGGTGGGAGTTGGGGCCGTGTTGGTCCCAAGACAAGGCGGGTGAGGTCATCGCTTTTCTTGGACCAACTTGCCTCTCTCACCAACGGAAGTTGGTCCAATAAAAGCAATGATTTCACCCACCTCGTGGCTACCATGGGGCTGCCTCTGCGTGGGAAGGGGGTGCTCCTTCCCTGCCACCAACAGGGCCTGGAAGGGACAGGGCTTAATTTGTAATGAAAGGGGTGCCGGAGGGCTCAAGCAATTATTTTACTTTCATAACTGACACGGCAAGCCCAGGAGAGCCGGGGCTCTGAACTGCCAGGCCCAGAGGTGCCGGGGCTCAGGCCTGGAAAGTCCTGACACAAATTAAGCACTGGATACAGGCAATGTCCCCAGGGTGGTAACCAGTATTAGTGACTGGTCCCCAGTGGCCCAGTGCAGCTCCCCACAGCCACCAGCCTGTCACCTGCCCATCTCCAACTGCTGCCCCCTCCGCGCTGCCAAGGAGCCTTCCTGCCCCTTGTCCTCTCCATTGTCCTCTTAAAGCAGCTTTGCAAAGGGCTCCCTGCTGCCGTGTGGATAGTGCTTTAGGGGTGCGGGGGAGAAACCGTTATGTTCTGGTGGTTTATTGAACATTCATATACAATCCCGTCCAACTTTCCCCTCTCGTTGTTTCATATGGATATAAAATCCCCTCAGATCTTGCTTTTCCCCCCCTTCTCGTATCATCAACTATTTAGTTTCAGACCCGTTTTCTCATATTTTTTTCAAAGATTGATATAAAATATTCTAAAATGTTGCCCCATTTTCTTCCTAGTTATCTATGACTGTTTTAATATGCCTTGAGATTTTCCCTGTCTCTCTAGTTATAAAATATTAACATAAAAATAATATGTTTTTTTAAAATCCTCCAATTTTGCCCTTTTTTCAAATTCTTGAATATTGATATAAAATCCTTGCAAGTGTTGCGCCTTTTCTATTTATAAAATATCGAGAAGAAATTAACTCAAATGTTACCTCTACTTATTGACTATTGATATAAAATCCCTCTCACTTTCCCCACTTTCCTTTCTAATTTGTGAAAATTGATCCAAAAATTCCTCAGATTTCCTCCCTTTTCTCTTTAATTGATCTCAAATCCCCGAGTTTACCTTTTTCCCTGTAATTATCAAATGTGAATTAAAAATCTTCTCAGGTTTGGAGTTGTTCCCCTTGTCTTTTAACTGCAGCAACTTCTTTTTTTGGAGGAAACCTTTTACCCTGAGTCAGTCTCCATAGTGGAGGTTACAGGGGGTTAAATTCTCAAATGAGCAACTTCCCCCTGTCACTGGTGTCTGAGAATTGCAACATACTGTATTAACCCCTCACATTCCCATCACTGATTTCACCAGTGGGTCTATGGTGATCGTTATTTGCCAGTGACAGGTATGGAATTGATAACTTTCTATCCGTTTGTCCAATACAGGTACAAACCCACCACAGATCTTGCTTCTCTTCCCCCTTTCAAAACTACAGGAACACCACGTTTTGGGAGCGAGGGAGCAGGTGGGAAGTGGGATACCTATCTCCCCCACTCCAAAGATCTGTTGAAAAGGATTCTGACCTCATCCCTCCTGAGCCATGTTTCTGCAGGAGCTGGTCCAGCCATTGGAGAGGGAACGACCCTGGAAGGGAACTTTCCCAGCCAGAGGGGAAGGAGAAGGAACAGTGGGGAAAGGAGATAGAAGGGAAAAGAGGAGAGAGAGACTGAAAGGGGCAGTGGGAGAAATAAGTGGGGAGAGAAATTCCCAGATCTCTGACCTGCCCAGACACACTTATTGCAACATCCCTGGGCAAATTTACTTTCCTGTGGACAAGGTGAGGAGCAGAGAGAGGAAAAGCTCATTTCTGATTGTCCCTATTCCCCCTGCTGGGGGGTGGTGCCTCGGGGACAATGTCGGGGGAATCCCCCTAAGTGATTCCTTGGGTTCTGCTCTTTTCTAGCATTTGGGCCAGACTCAGAGCCTGTGTTACTGGGAGGGTTTAAAAATGTCTCGGTGGGTTTAGTCCTGATGGAAGGGGCCGGGTCTGCACTGTAATAAAGAGACCAAGTGTTTTCCTAGAATAGAATCATAGAAATGTAGGGCTAGAACGAACCTTGACTGGTCATCAAGTCCAGCCCCCAAAACTAAGGCAGGATCAAGGAAACCTAAACCACCCCTGATAGAGATGTCCAACCTGTTCTTAAAAACCTCCCAAGGTGAGGATCTCACAGCCTCCCTTGGTAACCTATTGTAGAGCCTTTTCAGCGGTACTGCGGCCTAGCGAGTTGCTCCCCGTTTTGTAGTTGTGCATCTGATTTTTCCTTCTGAAGTGTAGCACTTGTATTGAATTTCATCTTGTTGATTTTAGACCAATTCATCAACATTGTTTTGAATTCTAATCCTGTCCCTCAAAGAACTTGCCACCCCTCCCACAGCTTGGTGTTTTTCTTACTTTTTATAAGCATCCAATTCATTGTCCAAGTCATTAATGAAAATACTGACTAGCGCCAGACTGAGCACTGACCCCTGTAGAGCCCCACTCGATAGGACCTCCCAGTTTGACAGTGAACCATCGGTAATTACTCTGTGAGTATGGTCTTGAAACAAATGGTCTTGAAACCCATTTTATTGTAATTTCATCTAGACTCCATTTCCCCTAGTTGGTTTATAAGGCTCTCGTGTGGCACTGTGTAAAAAGCCTTCACTAAAATCAAGATCAATCATGTCTAGAGCATCTCTCTTAACCATGAGGCCAGTAACCCCGCCTAAGAAGGCAATTAGGTTGTTTCGGCATGATTTGTTCTTGACAAACACATGCTGTTTATATGTTGTCACCCTGCTAGCCTCACAAATTGATTGTTTCAATAATTTGTTCCAGTATCATTCCAGGAATTGAAGTAAGGCTTGACTGGTCTTTATTTCTCCATGTCCCTTTTTGAAGATAGACGCTATATTTGCCCTACTCCAGTCCTTTAGGATCTCACTTGTCCTCCATAATTTCTTGAAGATAATTGCTAATGGTTCTGAGATTGGTTCAGCTAGTTCCTTAAGTTCCCTAGGTTGAATTTCATCAGGCCCTGCTGACTTGAATACATCTAACTTCTCTAAATATTCTTTAACCAGTTCTTTCCCTATTTTTTGTTCCTTCCCCCTCAAAGTTAATAATAATTGTTTTAAGTATCTGGTCATAATTAACCTTTTCAGTGAAGACTGAAGCAAAATAGGCATTAAACATTGTAGTCTTCTTCCTGCCATCTGTTATGAGCTCTCCTTCCCTGGCAAGCAGAGGACCTACTCTTTCCTTCGCTTTCCTCATGCTCCAAATGTAGTCATAAAACCCGTATCTTATTGTCTTTTATGTCCTCACACTAGGGGTATGTCTACACATAAACTGCTACAGGGTTTGTGAAGACAGTACCTACGCCAACTGGCAAGGTTCTCCCGTTGGCATGATGCTCCATGTCCCTGAGAGACGGTAGCTAGGTTGATGGGAGAATTCTCCTGTCAACCTAGCACTGTCCACACTGTGCGTCACACAGGGGTGTGGATTTTTCCACATCCCTGAGTGACAGAATTATACCGACCTAATTGCCTCGTGTAGGCCAGGCAGGCTTAGGTGTAACTGCTTTTGTGTTTTCATCTTTCTGATTTTGTCCCTACCTGCTTCTTCTATTCTTTTGTACTCATCCTCAGAAGTTTGTCCACGTTTTCACTTTTTGTAGGAATCCTTTTCATATTCAGGTCACCAAAGAGCACCTGATGGAGCCACATGGGCCTCTGACTCTTCTGTCTATCTTTCCTTCACATCAGGAGAGTTTTCGGTTGCTCCTTTAATATTGTCTCGCTGAGAAACTGCCAGCTCTCCTAAACTTTCCCCTCCCCTTAGATTTTATTCACAGGGGACCTTACCATCCAATTCTCTGAGTTTCTTGAACTTTGCTCTTCTGAAATCAGTTGTCCTTATTCTGCTGCTTTCACTCCTTCCTTTCCTTACAGTTATTACATCTGTCATTTTGTGATCACTTTCATCCAAATTGCCTTCCACCTTCAGATTCATAACCAATTCCTTCAGCTTTGTCAGAATCAAGTCTAAAACAGCTGACCCCTTATTACTACTTCTGTCTTCCAAAACAAAAATTATTCCCAATATAGTCCATGAACTTACTGGGCATTTTGTGTTTGGCCAGATTACTTTTCCAACAGATTTCTGGGTAATTAACTCCCCTCCCCCTCCCCATTACTACTTGTGTTTTAGATATTGCCATTGTTTGCATGGCAGAATCTAGAACGTCTGTCTTCAGGGAAAGAACCTGGGGCGAATTGTGCTATGAAATGAACTAAAGCCTGTTCTGAAAACTCCCTAGTTGCCCTGGCCGGCTGCAACTTAACATCCATGTTTTCCTTCAGCTCGTCCCATCCTCCCACGGGACAGGGAAGGGAAGTGGCTGGGGTGGAGCCAGTTCAGGTAGGGATTACGGGGGAGTTGCTGGTGGGTTGCTTTTGGAGAGAGAGGGGCAGTAAACAGCTAGTGACTGAGGTAGGAAACAAACCTCCTGGGCAGGGCTAGGAAAGCATACCAGACTCCCGTTGCTGGATCCTAAACCTTCTAGTGAGAGGTTGCTATGAAATATGAAGGGGGCACCCACCAGGGAGGCCTGGGGGAGATGCCCCCCCCACACACACACCCAGCTGCTGTTATTGTGGGAGGTGTTGGGATTCCTACTGGGGGCTGTCCCTTGACATGGCTGGGGGCTACGTCTGCTGTATCAGCCCCCTGTCTAGTAGGTGAGTGATGAATGTGCAGACCCCGCCCCCTCTCTCTGCGGCAAGGGACAAGGGGCTCTCTCTCTTTCTCCCCCACCCCCGCCCCAATGCCTCTGACTGCTCTGAGCGGGGTGGTGGTGGGACTCTGCTGACTGTGAGCCACTCAGAGCTCCCATGTGATTGGCCCTGTGAATAGTGGGGCTGTGAGTGGGGCAGCAGGTGCTGAGTGTAGGACTCTTGCTCTTTCAGGGGCCGGTGACCTTCCAGGAGGTGGCTGTGGATTTCACCAGGGAAGAGTGGGCTCTGCTGGACCCCGCTCAGAGAGCCCTCTACAGAGCCGTCATGCAGGAGAACTACGAGAATGTGACCTCGCTGGGTAAGGAGTCCCGTCCCCTCCGTTCTTAGAAGGGGAAATGCAGAGTTAAGGTTCACGTCACCCTGCAATGTAACCTTAACTCTGCCCTGTTTCAGCGACACCCCGACATGCCAGTGACACACATGCCAGCGCTATACCCTGCCCTGCTAGAGAACACTTTGGGAACAGAGCTCAGGAGCAGAACAGCGCAGAGTCTAACGTTGTCTCTTTGCTAAGGCAAAACGTGGGTTCAGGTCTGGCATAAAGAACAGAAGCTGCCTGCCCCTGGCCAGCCCTCAAACCCTGAGCCTGCCGCACACAACCCAGCTCAGATTTACAAACTGTTACCAGCCCTTTACCCTCCCCCTGAGATTCCTTCTGAGTCATTGCCTTCACTTGCCCCTCACTGAGCCCTGGAGACCCCTAGTGTGTATCCCACTGGATTGCTGTCAATCCCCATGGCTAGAACTAATCCCTGTGCACTGTCACTGACACAGCCTGCAACACTCAGCACGGAAATGAGGCAGACTCGGTCCCTCAGGGGTCACCTGCACTCTCTGCATACCACGGTCACAGCTCTGCCAGGCTGCTCCAACGGCTCCCTCCACCATCCGATTACAGCTACAGCTGACCCAGTGCACACAGCCGGAGGGCATGCGGATAAATGCTGGCGTTCCCGTCTGTGGAACACCACACAAACAATGGCACGTTCTTAGTCCTTCCTTGTATCTATTATAGATTCACAGATTTTAAGGCCAGGATGGGGTGTTAGGTCATCTCCTCTGCCCTCCTGTATCACACAGGCCGTAGAATTTCACCCAGTCACTGCTGTACTGAGCTGAATACCTTGTGTTGGACAAAATCGTCTTCCAGAAAGGCATCCGGTCTGGACTTGAAGACTCCAATAGGGGGAAAATCTGCCACTTTCATTGGTAATTTGTTAAAGTTGATACCACCCTTACAGACCTCTTTCCGCTGGCTATTGCCAGCTCCAGGATTAGTGGGTGGGGGGGCAGAGTTAAGGTTGCTTTGCAGAGGTGGCGTGTACTTTAGATCTTCTTTTCCTGGTTGTCAGTGGTTTTAAATGTAGCCACTATCCACATACTGGAAGGGCATGAGGCAGCACCGGGTAACTTTAACGCTGCATTATTGTACTTTATGACCATTTAATTTCCATGATTTTAATGGACTTTTTTTTGCTGCTATGTCTGTCTCTACACTAGCGCTTTCGATGGCATAGCTGTGTGAGTTAGAGATGTGATTTTTCACACCAATAACCAACAGTGGTGAGTGGTGGAGAAAGTGAATAAGGAAAAGTTATGTACTTGTTCCCATAATATAAAAACTAGGGGTCACCGAATGAAGTTAATGGGCAGTAGGTTTAAAACAAATAAAAAGAAGTTCTTCACACAGCGCACAGTCAATCTGTGGAACTCCTTGCCTGAGGAGGTTGTGAAGGCTAGGACTATAACAGGGTTTAAAAGAGAACTGGATAAATTCATGGAGGTTAAGTCCATTAATGGCTATTAGCCAGGATGGTGTCCCTAGCCTCTGTTTGGCAGAAGGTGGAGATGGATGGCAGGAGAGAGATCACTTGATCATTACCTGTTAGGTTCACTCCCTCTGGGGCACCTGGCATTGGCCACTGTCGGTAGACAGATACTGGGCTGGGTGGACCTTTGGTCTGACCCAGTATGGCCGTTCTTATGTTCATATGTTCTTATGACAGCGCTATGCTGGCAAAACTTCTCTGTAGAGAGCAAACCAAAGTCTACATGTGGATGTTAGAGCACTTCAAAATATTGCTCTTAACCCAGCAATTTTGGTATCAGGGCAAAACATCCAAGAGGAACTCCTGCAGAATGCAAGACAGACCCACAGCACACACTGTGCGAAAGTGATCACAGGTAGGGCTCAGATCCAATGGCCACAGCATGTCCTCTTGAGTTACCCAATTACTGTGAGAGCAGATTGCTGGAAACCCTCTGGCTGTTAACGGGGCCTTGCTGTACACATGCACTTCACTCTCTTTCACCCGTCAGTTTGGCAAACTCTACAGTTATTAACTTTTCAATACTGCTTCCCCATAGAGGCCCTGGGTGCCATAGAACAGCTGAGATAAATGACAAGGGACGGAGTTTAGTCAGGAGACCATTAGAACCATAATATGAGCCCCAGGCAGGTGCAAGAAAATAAGAACATAAGAGCGGCCAGACTGGGTCAGACCAAAGGTCCATCTAGCCCAGTATCCTGTCTGCCGACAGTGGCCAACGCCAGGTGCCCCAGAGGGAATGAACAGAACAGGTAACCCTCAAGTTCTAAGAGGAAAATGATTTTTGTAAATGGTGGCTTTGAGGGGGGCTGTATCTGAGGAACCTCTTGATCAAATTAATGCTACTTTTGGACCAATAAACTCGCCCTCCACCTCCATGGTGAGCAGTTTATTTCAAGACTATGTCAATAAGCATGTGAATTTTAGAGAAAGTAGAACAGTCGACCTTAAAAGAGAAAGTAATACTGAACCAGTACTACATCGGCACTGGGACTCTGGTATAACAACTTCCCAGAGGTGGGGAGGGTGTGACAGCCAGGTGGGACCATCTGCTGATGGGAGACAGAGTGAGGTTCCTCAGGTTTCTCCCTGGAACAAGAGAGAGCAGGGAGCAGTGGGAGGGGGAAGATGATGGGGGACTGGTGCTCGTGGGGTGCTGCAAAGCAGGGAGGGCTGAGAGCAGTGGGAGGGAGTCAGAAACAGGAGCTCTTGGGACATGGTAGTGGGTTGGGCTGGAGGAGCGGGAGACTGGGAATGAGGAATAGGGGACGGAGGGCCCAGCAGTGGTGCTGTTGGTGGGGGAGGATTGCGTAGGAGATCTGGGTTACCAGGGAGTGGGGAACGCGGGGTCGTGAGGAGAGGGAAGGGGATTGGTGAGGGGTTGCTTCTAGGGGGCAGGGAGGGTCTGGTGGAAGTGAAGGTTTCAGGGGAGGCAGAGACTTGGGGCACACTCTGGGCTAAGAGTGTCTGCTCTTTATTCAGATTCAGCTTTTCCCAGCAGCTCTTCCATAGCTGCTTTCAGTCTCACACCAGCCCGGGGGTGGGGAAGAGGGGGGATAGCTCTCCTCTGCTAGCTGGGTGATTGGCATTCTCACAAAGAACCACCACCTGTAAACTTCCTGGTCTGAACTTCTCTGCTGTCACAGACGTGGGAGCTGCCTCTGGATTTAAAGAGACACAGTTACTTTCCAAAAAGTAACTATCAGGACCAACATCCTGAAAAACTGGGACCTGGATTGGGGAATCCTCTGTCACCCCTTTCTCTGTCCCCGAGGAGCCAGCTGTGTGGCTGTTCCCCCCCCCACCACACACACACACAGAGGTCAGTTACACAGTTCTCTATCAAAACCGGAGTAACAGGCTGAATGCCTGGGTGCACTGACATTGAATCAGCCATTCTGTCCTGGCATCCTCTCCCAAGTGACCACTGAGGAGCCATTCCTATACTCCCACTATTTCTTTCCCAGTTTCCCTCTCTGGGTCCCTCTCTAAGACACATCTCTCTTTGCTCTCTGGAGTGGGGTCTGCCCCTTGTTCCGCTGCAACCTGCTGGCAACTAAAAACCTGGATAGTTTTCTCACTAACAGGCACTACCCACCCCCCCTTCCCTTCCTGAGAAGAGGCTGCCTCTAGCTGCATTGCAGGAGCTGGTCTTAACTGCTCCCACATCTGGAAGCATGCAGCTTCCCCCTGTTTCATAGGAATTAAAGAGACTCTCTCCCATTCCTTCAGCAGTTCCTGGGACTTTACCCTGGGTCCCGGCATCATATTCCTTCTGGCTACCTCACAAATCATTCCCAATTAACATGTCCACCAGGAGGTGCTCCATCACCCCACCGTCAAAACACTTTCCAAATCTCCCCACACCACATGAATTCTAGCTAGCGGCACGGGGTATCTGGTTCTGCCCACCTCTACCATTTTTGCCATTTGACCAGGTAATATGCTGGTATGTGGGGCCACTCTGCTTAACCAGAGAAATTGGAGCCCCAAGATCCCTCCATCCTAAGCATTCCCTGCCATTAACCCTGACAACCCTACTGTCCTCCATAGCTGGTTCTGCAGAGGCTAATCTCACAAAATCAGTATGGTAAGTGACAGGCACCTGACGGGCTTCTGTGCTCAGGGCAGCAGCATTCACAGGGGTTGTTGGCTGCCTGCTTCCTCCCAGCACAGGGCATTCATTCTTCAGATGATCAGTGAAATTACAGTGATAGCACCTTTGGGGGTCTTCTGTTTTCACAGGAGATTTGGGACGGGGATTAGAGGAAGGGTTTTGGGGAGGTGAGTGTCCAGCCTCCCAGCCACCCTCTTTCTTCCCAGGGGTAAAACAGGAACCCTGCTTCTCACCAGGTTTAAACCCCTCTTTTTGCAATTTCTTCTTAACCGATGCCTGAGTTTGCTCAAAGTCATCAGCTAGAGACGCCATCTCATCCACAGTTTTCACATTTTTGTCCTACAGACACTGTTTCACATCATCTTTACATATGCTTCAGAAATGCTCCTGACCAACAAGGGCAAACATTTCTTCAAAGCTTGCAAGCCCTTTCCCCTCAGCCACTTTCCCATCAAACCTTTCATCTTGTTCACATATTCCCCATAACTCATACCAGCACCCCTCTGAAGATTTCTAAATCTCACTCGAAAAGTTTCAGGGGTAATCTGAAATCATTTCAGAATGATTTCTTTGCATTCACCATAATCGAAATCGTCCTGAATTAGCATTTCCTGGAATATACTCAGAGCTTTACCCGTTAACTTTGCAACCAAAGTGGGGATTCTCTTGTCATCAGGAATCTGATGATTCACACACAGCCTCTCAAAAGGAGTAAAACTTTCAGTAACATCATCTGTCTCTTTGGAGCTAGGACACAATGGTTCCCATTTGTGGATTTGTGGAGAGGTGGGAATCAGTGGTGTGGGAGGGTTCTGGTTCTGCTTTTCCAGCAAGTCCAATTGATGTATTCACCCTCTTTCTCGTCCCTCAGCGGCTTTAGCTTGCGGTTCTACGGCCCTCTCATGTGCTAACTCCTGGGCTTCTGCTTTTTTGGCTGCCTCCTTCTCTTTCTCCTTTATCTCCAGTTCTTTCATTTTGAACTGATGCTCATAGTCTCTCTCTTTTTCTGCTCTCCGTAATCTGTACAGCTCTAACTTTGCAATTGCTTCACTGCTTTTCGCTCATCTTGAAGCTTTTTCTGTTCCTATTTCCCTTTCCCGAAATAAGCAAACAGAAAGGCCACGTCTACACTACCCGCCGGATCGGCGGGTAGTAATCGATCTATCGGGGATCGATTTATCGCGTCTCGTCTAGACGTGATAAATTGATTCCCCGAATCGACGCCCGAACTCCACCTCGGCAGGAGGAGTAAGCAGAGTCGACGGGGGAGCCACGGCGGTCGACTTGCCGCCGTGAGGACGGTCAGGTAAGTCGAACTAAGATACTTCGATTTCAGCTACTCAAATAGCATAACTGAAGTTGCGTATCTTAGATCGATCCCCCCAAGTGTAGACCAGCCCAAAATAACAAACTGGTAACCTTCTCTTTGACTGTTTTCAGCCACCACCCTTAAAGTCTCACTTAAAATCTCTGCGCCAGTGCTTGAAGTGCAAATCTAAATCAGAACAAGCTGTGCATGTCACCCTGCTCACTTAGATCCCTGGGATGCAACCCGGAACTGGGGTACCGCTGTGTCCCCTGTATTCTCCAGCCTGGGCTGTCTCTCACAAAGCTTTGCTAGTGACAAGCAGCAAACGCCTCCAGGCGCTGTTACCACCTAGCCCAACAGCATGTGGTGCCCCACACTCAGCTAAATTGTGTGTATGCTCCTTGTGCCACTCACGAATCACACCGAGAGAGACACCAGCAAATCTCCCAAGCCC